CCCCAACCAAGCTCCAGAAAAAAACCCTTCGCCAACTAGCAAACCAAAACACCTCTCTATCGCCATCTCACGATGAGCTCTGTAGGATTTCCAGGATCTGTTCAAATATCATGACCTTTGTGTCTTCATCCCACCATTTCCAAAGAAAAAAGAGAAGGACTAACTCAAAAGAAAGTTCCCTAGCGAAGGCACCAGACCGGGCCGTCAAGCAGACACACGACCAGCGGCAAGCACCCACTTTACCCTTGCGAGAGAATGCTGATGCCATTGATGGAGACCGACAGTGCGTGCAGGCCGGCGGGCAGGGGGGGCAGCACCACCCACAGGCCCTGCGCTGTCCACGCGTGGACCTGAACCGAGGTATCCCAGACATGGACCTCCACAGCCAGATCTGCGTAGTTTCCCAGAAGCTTCAGTCCAATGAAAAGCGCCTCACCTCCTGCAAAGATGAAAGCCTGTCGGTGCCTGTGATGCGGGTGTGAGCCCTCAGTCACCATGCAAGGCTAACGCTGTCTTTAGGGTTAAACTCATGGCCATAATGCATATGCACAGAACACTCTAAGAATTCTAATACCAACTTAATTTTAATGAAATTTATTTTTTTTTTTACACAGGGTCTCACTATGCAGCTCAGACTCATAGTGGTCCTCCTATTTCAGCCTCCCAGCACTGGGATTACAGGCGTGCACTACCACACCTGGTTCTAGGGCCAGCATGGCATGTTACAGTACTGGGGATCAAACTCAGGACCTTGCACTTGCCAGGCAGGCACTCATGCCGCTGAGCTATCTCCACAGCCCCAATTTTAATGAATTTCTAACAATTCTTTTAACAGAACTATAACCTAAAACCCCAATGACATAAAAAAGCAAAACAGGCCAGGGCCATAGCTCAGCAGCACAAGCCCCTGCTTAGCAATCACAAGGTCCTGAGTTTGATTTCCAAAAAAAAAAAAAAACAAAAAACAAAAAACTAAAAAGCAAAATCATCAGGGCAATTGCACACATCTATGTAAAGGCAAATTAAGAAATAGTTCACAAGCCTAACGGCCTTCATAACAAGAAAATCTCTGTATCTCTTTTTTAAACATCCACTTTCTACCCACAAAAGTCTACAGTGTAACTGCTGTGCGTTAGGCCACACAACAGTGCTATGTGTGTGTCACAGTTCTCAGTGGGGGGAGCGCGTCCACACACACTCTCCCATCCGACCCTCCCTTTCCCGATGGACACACGGGCCACATAACATGGCTGGCATTTTCGGTTGAGGACAGTGAGGCGAGCAGCTGAGGCTCATGCCTAGCTAATGCAGAGCCAAGGCCCAGGTGCAATTGTCTGCCTCTTAGTTCAGCAGCTTTCAGTGTCGTTAGCAACTCTACTAAAATTCTGTGTGCAGTCTGAACAATGAAATTCAACTGCTTTGGACTCAGATACTTACTGAGTCCCAAGGGGAAGATGCTGCAGGGGGCAAAAATCACACAGAGCAGGCCCTCAAGGAGAACTCAAAGTTAGGAGAGAGGGAGAGAACATCACACAAACAGAAAACACATGAACAGAGGAAACTCCAGCAGCGGGGTGTTCCAGGTGAACACATTCCGAAAGTCAGGAAGGGCTTTATGGTAAAGCCAAGACGCACCTGGACTTCACCTTGGAAGATAAAGCCCAAGAGAAACTGGAACTTAGAATTCAACTTATAAACTTTCATAATTTTGTCCAATATCTTGTACCTTTTCACTTAATTATCTAGTGGCTGGGAAAGAGAATTTGGTTCCTTTCTGGACGACAAGGTACTCATAGGTACAGGGAGGGGCTCTCTGGGCATCGGTCCCTTGTGGTGCTTCTGTGGCTTAGCAGGAGAACAGCTAATTCTGAAAGGTTTCTACTAAATTCAGGGCATAGGGACAGTTCCAAAGGCCTCTAAGTAAAGCAAAGATATAATCAAAGCTATTCTTTCAGTCTAGAAGACAAAATAAAAATACAAGGGTATGCGGGCTCTGTTCTGCTGACAAGTGCTAATGAAGGTCAGAGGCAATGCGCTTGCCTTCCCTGGGTCTCAGCACGCAGCTCAGGGCAAAGTGCCCGGATGTTCCTCTGCCTTTGAACACTTTAGGACCACGGCCACACTGGCGTCTCTGCGAGGGGTGGTCCATTAGATAGACAGCAGAGAGGGGCCGTATGAAAGAGAAAAGCCAAAGGAGGGCGCTGTGCATCGGTGAGAGTATTGTGACTTGGCATCAAACCTTCGCTCTGTCCCGTAACCACCTCTGGGACTCTGAGGAACTTACTTTGGACCTGAAAGCCTCAGAGTTTTCATACGCAAGATGGCAGTAGTGTGTCCTGTGCCACTTGGCCTAAGAATTAACTTAGGCATCCTGGGATAGAAGAGACGTTGCAGAATACAAAGAACTCCCCATTGACTTTATTTTCTTCCTTACTTCCTCATCCTCTTCCTTGCATCTCCTCACTCTGTTTGGAAGGCTAGGGCTACATGGGAGTTGAACAAAATTTGACCTGCAGCTCCCTCTGCACCTGAGTCCCTAGGCATAGACATGAGCCATAACTCAGCAGCGAGCACACAGCACCTAGCTTAGTCTCAGCCAATCAGGGAAGCAGAACTGCAGCCAATTACAGGCTGTGAAGTGATAAAACCATGCTCATATATGGCAAATATCTAGATATAACTGACCAAGCTGCTGTCTTTCTTCTCTCTCTCTCTCTCTCTCTCTCTCTCTCTCTCTCTCTCTCTCTCGGCTTTAGGTTTGGGTGTTCTGACATAGGCTCTCACTGTGTAGCCCAGGCTGGCCTGAAGCACAGACTGATCCTCCTGCCTCAGCCTTCCACCAACCAAGCACTTTCTGAACATCACTTTGTCTCTCTTTCTGAACATCACTTTGTCTGTACATGCTTCCTGCCCACTCTGGAGAGCGGAGCTTCATGAAGTTCTTCTGACTCACAGGGTTTCTAAATTCACAAAGCATTCTTTGCTTGAATAAACTGCTAATTTAACATTTCAATGTTTTTCATGAACAAGTGGTTAAGCTGGGATTTGTTCAGAGCCAATTCGTTCTCATTACAGAACCTCGCTCTAGTCGTACTGTACATCAGGCCCTTCTTCCTCTCCTGCCCCGTCTTCCTCCCATTCCTCTTGGTGTCAGAGTCTCCACCCTGCGCAGGGTGACGTGCAGCGCCTCACCTCAAGGACCTTTCCCGAAAGTCAACCACACTTGGCAGCATTTAGGAGATGTTCTTTGTCCTGACCAGGAACATTTAAGTAAAAGCGAAGCTCTACGAAGAATGCATTACATTGTGTGCATCAATAGCTTGAACTCCTTCTTGTCACTTGTCAAGCTAGCCCTAGGTAGCTTTTAGGCACTGATATAGTTTATTTATTCTTCCATTATGGGTAGAAATCTTTATTAAAAGCTGAAATCACTGAAATCTAAATACACCATGAAGCTTTCTCCTCCCTCCCTAGAAGAATCTACACCGCTGGGGAATTTTACACACTTTGGCCTCCTGACGCAGCAAATTCTTCTTCTGCACTGCCTGAGTGGAATAATACGGAGAAGTTAAAGGACATTTCCTTTTATTTATGTACTCATCAGCTATGGAAAATGAAAACAGTACCAGAAAAATTGAACTGAAGCTTTTTCTTTGGGAAATACAGTGGTCTTTTTTACGATGAGCCCTCAGTTAGGGCAGCCATCAGCTCTATTATCTGGTGCTCAGTTAGCCTAAAATGCATTTTCTCTGCTACTTTTCCAAATCTACACTGTTATGTCTTGGCAGGAAATTGTTATACTTCCATCCTATCATATCACCTAGATCATTATATATAGATTAAACTATTTCATGTAGTGGAGGCTAAAAGGTCTTTTTTTAGACACAGAAAAGCTTATTCTTAATTTAGAGCATCTTATTCTCTTACTGTATTAAATAATCACTACAATAGAGCCTTCTACCAAAAAACTATTTAACCATAAGAGCCTAAATGCTAGGGATCTCCAAACAGACTGTTTGTGTCCAGATCTTAGTTCTATTACTTGGTAAAGATAGTATTTTAGAAAAAAAAAATTGTTACTGCTTCTATTTCTTAGGTTTCTGAACTATAAACTGAAGCTGTTGATCCCATAAATTTGTGTTAGGATTAAGCCCTATTATGTATCTATGCTATTGTCAGCATATACAAAATATATTCAAAAATATTTATTAAATTGTCTTCCATTTCCCACATAATTTTCAGAATGGAAGCAGTCCAAATTTTACAGAGAAAACAACAGACATAAAAATAGTTCAAAGATAGCTTACATGAAAAAAGTGTCCTGGTGTTCAGAAAAAAAAAAATCTATTCAAAATACAATCGAAAGTATAAGCTATTGACTGAGGTTTTCTAGGATCACTGTTCGAAAATCAAAACAGAGCAAGCAGCCTCGTGTTTTACCTGCTACACTGCTGCTGTTTCCGCTCAGGGACACGATCACCGGGTTTAGAGAAGAATCATACGCAAATGCTCCAGGCAGAACTGCAGAGTGACCCAAGGTGAACACGGTCACAGTCACCACGGAGCCTTCCAGCCCCTGGAAAACCAATTGTTGTGCTGTTATATTCTAATATTTCTTTATTCATTTTTGAGAAGGTCTCAGTACATAATCCAAGCCCGCCCCAAACTCATGGGGATTCTTCTTTTTAATCAGATTTTATTGGAACATTTTAGATACACATAATGATCACTCCACCATAGAGAATTTGTACCTGTACGTTATATAACTTGATTTTTTCCTGTTCCCCTGTGCTCCCTTTAACCCATCCTCCTCTGCCCATTTGCAAAAGCTTGGTTTCCTTTTTATTCTTTTCTCATTTTTTTTTTACTTGTCCCTTCTTTCCTTTTCCTTCTTGCCTTCTCTTCCTCCTCCTCACTTCAAAAAATAAATTTTTAAGATCAAATTTAGTTTTACTTTAGGAAAGCGAAGTCCGTATAAAGTGAGTTGATAAAAAGGTTCTATTTGTGACTTTCAAATTTCACACACATGTAGCACTTAAGTTAGGGAATTGCTGTGTTGAACAGATGCAGAAGGATCTGCTAAAAGGCAAACAGGGGTCATCTGCAATTATCACACCAGTTGCTTTTGAACATAAAAGGCAAGTTCAAATCAATGTCTATACCTAGCTAAACTACCAGCCAAGTATAAGGGTACTTTCAGACATACAAACACTCAAAAAGTTCCCTCCCACATTGTCTTTTGTAGAATGTTTCTGAAGATTATACTCTCACTGATAAATAACAATAGAAAAGAAGAATATACACACCCCAAAGAACAGTGAATACACACCTATATACAATTAAGAGAAGTACTGAGATGGAATTTGTAGAATAAATTTAGAAAATAACCAACCTAGACTGAAGCAGAAAAACAGCTGCAAGGAAGAGAGCAACTTACATGCTGAAATGTTTTTCACAAGGTGGTGAATTTCTACGGTAAGAAAAGACATGCTAAGAAAAAAAGATAGTTTTTCAAAGTACTTCTTCAATTTCATTGACTGATATTGGGGCCTTTCAAATCATCACACAACAGCAACACATGCATGCTCATGTTTGTAGCAGCACAATTTGTCATAGCTAAATCTCGCAAACACACCATATGCCCATCGATAGATGAACGGGTATAGACAACGGGGTATTCAGAAGCAGGGTAGAATTGGTCTGCCACAAAGAAGAACGAACATGAGCCATTGGCAGGAAAATGGGAGCACCCTGCAATCGTAATCTTAAGTGAAATAAATAGGACACACAAGTTTAAATGCAGTGTTGATTCTCCTGTGTGAAAGATGCTAAGGACAAATAGGGAGGGCGACAGAGGAGAGATACGGGGAAGGAGGAGCATGGGAAGGAGCAAGAGGGCAAGGGGAGTAAGGGAGGAGGTCGGGGAAGGATGAATGGAAGGAACGAGGTAGAAACAAAGATTTGTGCACGGGCAGGGAAGGAGGGGTTGAAGGGAGGGGAAGGGAGTATGGAAAGAAAAGACTTAAGATCTAGTATATACAAGTACAAATTGTTCTTTACAAAAGGAAAATCCAGAAATCATCTAAATGCTCAATAATAAGGAACATTTACACATATTATAGTGCAACTACAGACTGTAATTGCTTGTGGCTTATGCAGAAAAGCCAGCTTTTCATAATATTTCAGGAAAAGTAAATGAGATAAAGTTGAAGGACCAGGATCAGGAGGCATTCTGAGGTCCCTGCGTTCCAAGGGACCTCTAGTTCAGTGTGCAACTTTCTCCTAAGCCGGGCGCTACCAGTGCACCAGGGAGGGGACCGGCTCAAGTCTTCAGTGTCACAGGACAGAGAGGAGAAAGAGAACTCAGAGACTTTGTCTGTTGAGACAGAGTCTCACTATGCAGTACAGGCAGCCTTGAACCCACTAGGTAGCCTAGGCTGGCCCCGAACTCTCTTGGATCCTCTCGCCTGAGCCCCCAAGTGCTGAGATTACAGGTGTGTGTGACCTCATCCTATGAAAGGATTGCCTTGAAGGAAAAAATGGAGTATTAAAGAATTGCTAGAAAGTTATTTCAAAAAAAATCAAATATTCTAGAATTTTCTAAATCCCATCCTTAACATCCATGCCAGAAAACTAAATTGCTGTTGGAAGTTTTCATTGGCTCAAGAAAGAAAGTTTTTTAACCCACCACCAAAATATGTACTAGGTGAATCTGCATGTGCTGTGGTGTTAATACGTACTGAAAGTATGGACTAGGACGGTGTCAAGTTCTGTGATCTTAAATGTTGCCAGAGTGGACTGCACAGATCTAGAGAAAACATCCCTAAAATCCATCTGGAACCAGTAGAGATCTAGAAAGCAAAGGTAATCCTGGGCAGCTAAGAAAAGGCAGGAGGCATCACAGTCCCTGTCTTGAAATTATACTACAAAGCCAGTGAAGAAATCAGCATGGTACTGGTTTAAAAAAAACGGCCTGAGGATCAATGGAACAGACCAGAGGATGCAGACACAACTACAAATGCATTCAGCCACTTTATCTTTGACAAAGGAGCCAAACACATTCACTGGAAGAAAGATACCCTCTTTAACAAACAGGGCCAGAAAAACTGGCTTTCCATATGTCAAAGGCTAAAACTAGACCCAGTTATCACCATGCACACAACTACAATCAAAATGGATCAAAGATCTAAATATTGAAACTGAAACATTAAACCTACTGGAGGAGAAAGTAGGTGAAAATCTCTTTTATGATTTATTTAATTTGGTACAGGGTCTTGCTACACAGCTGAGATTCATAGCAATCCTCCTGTCTCAGTCTCCCCAGTGCTGGATTACAGGCATGTGCCACCATGCCTGGTTTCAGTGGCCAACACAGTACACCTGGGGCTCTGGGGCCAGCATGACACGCAGTACCAGGGACTGAACACAGGTCTTTGTGCTTATAGGCAGGCACTTAGACCGCTGAGCTAGCTGCCCAGCCCAATGGGTGGAAATCTTAAAGACATGGGAGTAGGTAGGGAGCTAATGAGCACAAACCAAAGTGCACCAGAAACACTTCAAAGAATAAACAATTGGGATTTCATCTTTTTGAAAAGTTTCTGCACAGCAAAATAAATCAACACGAGTAAAAAGAAAACCCACTAAATGGGAAAAAAAATTATACCCAACTCTCCCTCAGACAAAGGGCTTTTATGCAGAACATATAAAGAATTTTAAAAACTTATGACTCCAAAATTCAAAGACCCAATCGAAAAATGGGCATCTGAGATGAATATACATTTCACAAATGAAGAAATACAAATGACAAATAAATATATGAAAAAATGTTCAACATCATTAGTCATTCAAGAGATGCAAATTAAAATAATGCTGAGATACATACTATATTATGCCAGAAAGAATAACCATCGTCAAGATGTCAGCCAACAACAAATGCTGGAGGGGCTGTGGGGCAAAAGGAGCCCTTCTCCACTGTTGGGGGGAAGGCAGGCTGGTAAAACCACTATGGAAATCAATGTGAAGCCTCCTCAAAAAACTGGGGTTGGAGTTCCCATTTAAGCCTGCTAGTCTCCTCCAAGGTACTTTTCCCAAAGACCTGAAAACATCATACCACAGAAATATATGTGCACCCAAGTTTATAGCAACGCAATTTATCATGGCTAAATCTTAGAAACAACCCAAATGCCCATCAATTGAGGAATGGGTAAAAAAAGATGTAGTATTTTTACATAATGAAATATTACTCAGCTATAAGAAAAGGATACATTCGTGGCTTTCATAGGTAAATGGATGCAGCTAGAGGCTGCACTGGTAAGTGAAATAAATCAGACCCACATGTGCAAACATTGCATTGTCTCACTAACGTGAGAACCTGAAAGAGTAAATAAAATCTGAAAGCTACAACAGATACTGTGAGAGGGGAAAAATGAGTTTGATGAGAAGAAAAAATCTGGAATGAGGAAAAGGACAAAAGAAAGAAGGGAAAATGATATATTTATGTGTATATATAGAAGGATAGTTTGGGTAATTGTACTACTGATTTCTGCTGGTCTACTAAAGGAGCAGTTAATGCTTTTTTTTTTCTTCTTTTTAACTTCTTATAACTTTTTTTTTTTTTACCAGTTTTTCAGGTTTATATTTGGCAATCTAAACAACTAATTTGAAGATAACATTATGCAATACAACAACCATTGTCTAATTCCTATGACTTTGTTTAATGAAATTTCGTATCATTTCTAATTTTTTTAACATCTTTTGTATTCTTTAAAAAATAAAATAAATAAAATGGCTCCAGAGGTCTAACACACTCAGAGATGGGGCTTTTAGAAGGCGACTGGATCAGTGGGAGCTACACTTATCAATGGGTTGAGTCACTGGTGAGTTGCTAGCTGGATAGACCACTAGCCGGTGGGGTCCTGGTGGGGGAGCGGGTCCTGGGGCACGAGCTGGAAGGGCCTGTCCCCAGCCTCTTTTCTCTCCCACTCCATTTGCTCTTTCTCTGCTTCTGGTCACCATGAGGTAAATGGCCCTACTCTGCCAGCCCCTCTACCTTGATGTCTATGGTTTAGAGCCCGCCAACCACAGGCTAAAACCATGAGCAAAAATAATTCTCTTCTCTTCTAGCTCATGTATGTCAGGTATTTGGTCCTAGCAACAAACAAGCTGACTAAGAAAGACTGACTGGGTTGCTTTGCTTTTGAATGAATCAACTTGCGCTAATTGCAAGCCCCGCAGGTACAGTCAGCTTTCTCTTCATAGCAGAACAGACTATGCATACAATAAAAGCACACTGTCTCATGAGAAGTTCATCTCATTTAATTCAGTCCTCTGAAGTGATCTGCTGAAAATTTTATGTTACTAAGGGTTGCCCACCCACATAGAAAGACGTTGTCAGAGGAATCCACTTACCCTGGGAGGAATTTTGCATTGAATTCTTCGTGAAGTTCTTGTAGTGACATTGATCACACAAGGCTGAGATCCGAAGAACACAAGGCTGACACTTTCCAAACTAGAGCCCCAGATGGTGGCCCAGAGCCCTCCTGCAACAAAAGTAGCATTTTCATACAGGACCTGCAC